AAGTCACGGGGTCTCGCTGTATGTGCTTATACACACTTGGTTTCATGTTCTATGTCTGATTTTTAACCTTATTCTTTACCAGATTAAGTTAAGGTTAGACCATATAGAGAAGTACTATAAATACTTCTCATACTCCTGTGTAATATGTATCTCCTTCAAGTATAGTGAAACTGGCTCTTTCCTATCTATAGACTAGCTAACACACATCGTGTTAGTGAACCACGTAAATCAGTGTGTCTTATTTTTTTTCTTGCTTTCGTTTTTTTCTTGCTTTGTAGATTCTCCAATTTCTCGATACCTAGAAACAATCATAACATTGCTCTGCCTTAGTTAAGGATTGATTGAGGCTTGTGATTCCATCCCCTCCTAAATCCTAATCATCCACTGTCTACTTTCAATGCTTATTGTCTCCGGATGACAACAGATGAGATAGAAGAAGTAGAAGAATGATCCATGAATGATACCTTAGCTTGTTAGTATAACTATGAAATTGTGCATTTAGTCTGGGAATCTTGACCAAACCGTATGGGAAACCATGGTTTAGACCAAATCAAATGATTTGGTTCGGACCGTGAGATCAACATCATGGTTTCGTCTGATATGTAGTCTTCCCTTTTAGTGCGTGGCCTGACACGGTCTGGACCACAGTAAATCGTGATTAACCGCGGTGGACCGTTACCTACTACCTACCAATCCAAATAAAAATAACACAAATCTCCATTTATGCATTTGGAAGAACAAATCAAGCCTGATCAATCTGATCATGGAGAACAAACAATCTGATCTTCCTATTGTAGATTTATGTACAAGCATAACAAAAATATATTGGTTCTTCATCCAACCGAAAACCAACAGACTGCTCAAACACTCTCTATGTTTCAAAAAAAGTACACTTCTCTCCGCATATTTCTTCGCAGGTTAATTAAGGTCACTAAATTTTTGTTTCACTACTATATTGGGCACCAAACTTCTTTATTTTGTGGATACCGAAGAGGATCGGAAGGTTGGAGAAGAGTGAAGTTCTGTTGCACATGGTCTGCTTGATCCAGACCGTACCAGACTGTACCATATAGGTCTGGTCTGATTTGAACCATATAGTATATGGTTTAGTGCATGATCTATGTTATAACATGTCGATTTGAACAACAAACCATATTGTCTGGTCGGATCCGGACCGTACTGTTACCGCCCCTACATAATCAGCATCGTTGCCAACTTCTTTTGTTGGAACCCGCCGTTTATGTACCTTATCAGAATCAAACATCAAACAGTAAGAGATTAAGTTAATCTTTGCTAACTAGCTCTTTTTTTGAATCACAACTGTACGTGGTAACGGGTCGTGCCGCCCACGGGCTAGCACGACACAACACGAGCACGGGCAAAATAAATGGGCCAACCCGCCACGAGCACGAATAATTTATGGGCCGTGCCGGGCTTAAACTTCATGGGCACGGGCACGAGCACGGGCACAGTATATAAGTGGGCCGTGTCGGGCCTAATATTTTCGAGACTTTATTGAGTAAAAGAACGGACATGGTACCAAAATAATATTTATTTGATAGAAAATAAATATGAAAAGAATTATAGGTTCAAATATTACAAAACACAAGTAGAAATATAATTATTTTTTGTTGTTAGAAGTGTCATAAAGATATATACGTAATTACTAACAATGGATATATAAGTAAAAATGGACAAAGAATTAAACAAAGCAAAATCACACTCGCTATACTTCCAATTTCTTTTCCCGCTTATTTGTTACTTTTCTCAAACATTATCGGTTAATACTATCTTCCCCCGTCCAATTTTCACCTTCTTTTTCATTCTCTCTTTTGTTTTCGTCATTTTCATTAAACACGAATACGAGCATGACACGAGCACGAATAGGCACGACACGATTCGAACCGTGCCCGGGCCTGGGCTGGGCCTAGCAAAATTAACAAATGGGCTTGCATGGCACGACACGAAAATTGACGGGTCGTACCAAGCACGACACAAAATAAATGGGCCCGAAGCGTGCCCGTGCCGTGTCGGCCCAAGCACGGCCCAACGCCCATGTACAATCACAACGTGCCTCCTGCAAGCCATCGCCAGCTAAGGGTGTGAGGCCCTGCTGGTCATTGAACAAGCCGACGCCACCATCTTGCCGAGACCAAAGATTCAGCATCGTAACACTACCAACTATAGGTGTCAAAACATAGCCCGACCCGATTAACCCGTCCGATCAACCCGACCCGCAACCCGAATTGACTAAAAGTCAACAACCCGTAACCCGCCCGACCCGCAACCCGATTGACCCGCAACCCGACTAACCCGCAACCCGGCTAACCCGCAACCCGATTAACCCGAACCCGATTGACCCGCAACCCGACTGACCCGCAACCCGATTAACCCGAACCCGATTGACCCGAATTTCATCTAATCCACTTGAATAATTATAAAAATATACAATACATAGTTTTTAAAAATAAATTTTTTCATTCTAAATTTATGTAAAATTATTTTTTCATTTCGTATAAGAAATTTTCAAAATATGAAACTCACTTGATATTACGTATTTTAAAAAAATTACAAAAATTGAAACATGAAGGTCACTTGAGATCATGACAATATTAATATAATATATAAATTAAAATTTAGGTTAATTTAACTATTCAATAAAATTATCAATTAAATATAAATAAAGTAAAGTAATGTATTTGGTAATTTGGTGTTTTTAAAAGAAGAGGGAAATTTTGGTGTATTCAAGTTTTTGGAAGAGAAAGAAGAGGGAAATTTGGTTCTTTGAATTTTTTAAAAAACAAACAAGTGGGAATTTTGGTGGTTTTTATATGTGGGAAGAGAAAAAGGGGAAAGTTTGATTCTTTTGATTATGAAAGAGAAATAAGGAGGGAAACTTTTGACTTTTCAACTTTTTGTAGAAGGAAAGAAGAGGGTAATTTGGTTCTTTCAATTTTATGGAAGAGAAAGAGGAGGGAAAATTGAGTTTTCTAATATATGGAAGGAGAAAGAAGGAGGGAAATTTTAGTATTTTTGTGAAAAGAAAGAAGGAAACAAATTTGGTGTTTTCAATTTTTTGGTTTTTCATAATTTTAGCTTTTGAAATATGATCTTTAACTTTTATATGGAGGACATGACTAGTTAAAATTATTCTTATATGCTTTGAAGGCTAATATGTATATATGTATGTAATTTTTTATGGGCTAATAAATAAATTAACCATTAGTTACAACAATTTATATTAAACTCGATAAGTAATCTTTGACGGTTCGTTGTTTAGGATATAAAGTATATGGTTAGGGTATAAGGTATAAGGTACATATGGTTTATGGTGTATATGGTTAGGGTATAAGATATTGATGGTTTTGACGGTTCTAAGTTTTTTATTAACATATGTTCACTTGAAGTCATTTGAAGTCTTTAACGGCAGGAGATCCCTTTTTAATTTATGTTCATGGTACGTGGTTAGGGTACAAGGTATGTGGTGTAAAGTATAGGATATATGGTTAGGTATAACAATTAGCAAATATCACTTTTTATCTATGTTTTGAAAATCAAAGTATGAATTTCACTTTTGAATTAACTATACTAGCAAAATCACAACTCAAGGACATATGATTAGGGTATAGGTTATGTGGTTAGTGTATAATGTATTGATGGTTTAGGGTATACAATCAACAACATATACTAACTTAATATTGTTGATTGAGGGTAAAGCTAAGTGTATAGGATATATGCTATTGAGTAAGTTATGATTGAAGTCACAATAATTTTACTAAATTTGATAGCTAATCTTTAATGGTTCAATTTTTAGGATAATTCGAACAATTTTACAAATAACTTGTTTGGCAACGGTTTACTAAAGTTATTTGGGCAATGAGTTATTTTGAAATAACTCCTTTTATCACTATGCTTTTGCCAAATACCACACGCCAAATACCATATTTTCATGGTTATACTAAACGAGATACTTTAATCCAATTACTATTGAATTAATACTAAAATATCAAATAAACAATTAACGGTGTCTTTTGGTTGCAAATATTGATATCACCATTACTATTAGCTATAATACTTTACCAATTATGATTAATTACATAACAAGTTTGCAAGTCATACAAATTGATTTAACATTTTGACTAGTTTTTTTCCAAAAAATAAAGTATATATATACGAGGTAGAAATAAATTGGTTAAAAAGTTGAGAAAATATTTTAAATTAGTGTAATAAAATGTGTAAGTTGGTAATGAGTAATGAGTTAAGTTACTTGATGCGCTGGCCCGCCCGACCCGAAACCCGACCCGCCCGCAACCCACCCGACCCAAAACCCGATGAACCCGCAACCCGATTGAATCTGAACCCGATGAACCCGCAACCCGACTAACTCACAACCCGTTTGAACCCGAACCCGATGAACCCGAACCCGATGAACCCACAACCTGACTAACCCGCAACCCGTTTGAACCCGAACCCGATTGAACCTAGCCCGAACCCGCCCGAACCCGCCCGATTGACACCTATACTACCAACACTAAAATAAAAAGGGAAGCCACTGCCCACTAGTCACGCCACGCTTTTTGCAGGATGTGCAATGGAGCAGCCGTAATGTTAGTTTTTGCCAGAGTTGCTCGGATGAATATTATTGAGAGAATGGATATTGGATTAGTTGCACTTTTGCACTCAGAGAACTGGTCTTCCACTGCGGTTTTTATATATATATATATATATATATATATATATATATATATATATATAGATATTCTGATTTTCTCTTCACATCACATGCATCCCATAGCCTCACCAATCATCCTATTGCAGCTTTTTGGGTTCAGTCATTATTATTCGACCAACAAGGAAGACGATCGAATGATAAAAACCAAGGATTCAGAAGGCATGAACTTCCAAAGCAGCTCTACCAAGTCAACCAAACCTGCACATAACCCACTTCCCAGCTGCTACTCAACATATATATGACCAGCAGTTTGTGATTGGTTGAACCCAATACTGGTCCAATCTGTACACACCAACTTCACATCCTAAACCAGAGACACTAAGCACCAAAATCAATGATCGAAGTTGGACCAACTCCAACCAAATAGCACCCTTTTATAAGTCACTCCCATGCATTCATTCTCCAGCATCATAAGCAATCAGTTCAATAGCACTTTCTAGTTTTCCTTCTTTCTAACATCTATCATACACTGTTCAGTAGAAATATGGCAAGTGTGAGAAGTACATTCATCGCCATTAGCTTGGTTGCTACAATAGCAATGGCGGTCCTTTTCAATTTATCCATGGCTGCCAGTTATACAGTTGGAGGTCCCAACGGTGGGTGGGATGCTGCCACTGACCTTCAAACTTGGGCTACTTCTCAAACATTCCAAGTTGGAGATAACTTAAGTAAGTCTCCTAACCTCAAATTCTCAACTCAACGCTAATGATTGATTAACAGCTATCCGATGAATTCTTCCTCTATCGTATGAAGTCACTTGATTCGAGTCGGATTAAACTCGCAATAAAACAGAGAAATGCATTCTTGTGTAGAGGAAATTTTTCAAACTCTTTTTCCTGGTTTCCTTTTTCACAGTTTTCCAGTACGCGCCAAGCCATGACGTGGTGGAAGTTCCACAGACAGACTACACCTCCTGCCAGGCGACCACCCCGATCCAATCTTACACCGGCGGTGCCACCGTTGTCCCTCTCACATCCTCCGGCGATAGATACTTCATCTGCGGGACGCCGGGACACTGCAGCGGAGGAATGAAGCTCCAAGTTAACGTCCTCGCAACTTCCCCTGCCCCTGCTGCCGCCACGCCAGAGGAATCCCCTGCATCCTCTCCACCGGCGTCGGAGGACTCCCCTCTCCTCCCCCCTGCTTCTTCCTCCCCGTCTGATCTCCCGTTCCCCACCGCCGATTTGCCGGAGGAATCTCCAGAAATATCGCCTCTGGGATCTTCGATCCCGGTCTTCGGAAGCTCCCCTGCATATTCCCCTGCATCGGTCTCTTTCCCCACTGGGACCTCTGCTCTGACTCCGCCGGTTGCCACATCGTCGGCGGGCAGAAATGGGTTCTGGGTTGGTGGGGTTTCCGCCGGATTCTGCTCCCTGGCTATGATTGCAATGCTTCTGCAGGCTTGATTTTCATGCTTTTCTTTCCTCCCTGCGGGATGATTTATGTGCATTCTTTTGAGACCTGATGGCGTTTTGATTCCCTAAATTGATCGCTTTGATTTATAGTGTTAATTGTGTTTGTTGAATCTATCCCAGTTTGTTACCCTTTCTTTTGGTTTTCGCATTCCTTTTACCTCCTTTCCAAATTCCAATCATTGAGCAAGATGTCACTTTGATGGAATCCTAGATGAAAAGCCAAAGCATAAGGGTCAAAGTTACTATGCTTTATGATATGTGTAGTAATGATTGTGAATTCCGCAAAAGTTATACGAAAATAGTTAGTGGTTACATATTTTATACTAAAATCGGTATTCAACTGTTTCACATCGTAAAATCACATTTCATTTCTTGTTTGGTAGGACTAGGAATCTAGACAAAACATCATGAAAAATCGCAGTTTAGACCGTATCGTACGATTTGGTCCAGACTATAACACCATGAATACAATGTGGTTTGGTCCAATGTCTGCATGTTTAACTTGCGGTCTGGGACGATTTGGTCTGGTCTAGACCGTGGTTAATCGATATCTTCAGTTTGATAGGGTTTTTAAAACATTGTGTGTTAGCGCGAACTGACACTCAATGATATTGATCGTTGGATAATATGAATGGCAATTGTACCAACAGTTGAAACTTGAAATCCTCTGTTTTTCTTCGGTGCACGCGATCGAACTCTATGAGCTCGTTGTTGTTTAATTTGTTTGTATGTGAATGAAATTTCTTATTCAATTTGCATTAATAATTTTTCGAAATTCGCCCATCTTCCAAAAGAAAAATACCATTAGCTAGAGTAAATTTCTTGTCACACATGTTTGTAAAAATTTATTTCGCTAGAAGTTTGTTATTTACGTAAATATACTAAGGAAATTAGAGAGGAAATGGTGTGTTTCTTATAGAAATTTCCAAGCTCAAATCTTAGTGCCAACGGATTAAGTGTAGGGGTGGGCAACGCGATGGGATTGGGTACCCGTCCCATGAAACAAATACTCAGTCTCATTTGAAGATAAAATTTCATTCCATATCCCGTCTCGTACGAATTAACGGGTACCTGCAGGTTACCCATAAATTAGGATAGTTTTTGTTACTTTGGCATTTTTTTCGATATTTCAATCTCCCTGCTGGTTGAATCAGATCCGAAGCAGCTGCAGCTGCCGCAAGGGCCGCGCAATTGGGGCATTCTATACCCAAAAATGAGTATCACTTCGAATTACCCCTCTCTCTCTCTCTCTCTCTCAGACCAACTACCCTGAAATCAAATTAGGGGATTGATATGGTGATATTCTGTTATGTGGAGTCAATTTTTGCCCGGTGATGTAATAATAGAATGAAATAATACGCGTAATTAATATCTAATTAGCAATTATGAATGAGCGGGTAGTGCGGGCACCCGTAATCCTCAAAAGGGTTTAACGGGTAACCCGCGGGTACCCATTAGAGAATATCTTGATCCCATTTCCCATTCCGTAAAACAAATTATGGATATTTGAGTACCATAATCCTAAAACGGAATGGGTATGGGTATACCCAAATATCCATTTCCCGTTGCCCACCCCTAATTAAGCTAAGAAACCATTGAAGAATAAATTGTAAGAGAATTGGGGGAAAATTGGCAATACAACAGACTGTGAGAGGGTGGGGGGAGTAAGAGGAAAACTTCCGTCAACTCTACTCAACGTTCGAGACTTCGTTCCGTCGTGGTGATTGACGTGGCAGCGGACATGCTGCCATGCTGGAACGAGAATGGCTGCACTTCCAATAAATTCGGATGGTACAGAACTCTAAAACTGTGGTTAGGTACTTGATATCTTCAAAGCTGGATATTTGGTCCCCCACATTAAATTAAATGTCAACAGTCTTTTTGGTTATGGTCAGTCGGCCGGTTTTGGTTTAACCGAAAACCGATTTCTTGGTTATCGGCTAAACCAAGCCACCACCTCCCGCTGCCGACCACCGACCGTGAGGGACACTGCGGTAAGCCGACCACTGACCGATCGGTTATTGGTTTTGATTCGGTTAGTCGCATATCCGAAAAACACTCCCTAATCTCCAAAAAAATAAATCAATAAACCCAAAAATCCTTCCACCACTTATTCCTTATATCCTCCATCCTTCTCTCTCCTTTCTTTTTCCATTCAAACCGTCCACCACCACTCCTTCCGTCTCTCTCCTTCCTTCTAAATTCTAATAAACTTACATAATATGAGTCAGCACTCAAGGAGCAGCCGAGCAGGAGGGCTTGTCGCCGGCGAAGGAGGGAGGAGCGACTTTTCGCGAAGCCGTCGGACGGAGGCGGAGGAAGACGGCGTTCGCGCGGCGTGGCGGCGATTGAAGGCGGCAGGAGACGGCAGGCGGCGCGACGGGTGGAGGCCTGGAGGGATAGCGTGTCGCGCGATTGGAGGCTGCCTGCGTGTCGCGACCGTTGGAGGCGGAGGGATACGGCGGGGTGGCTGGAGGAGGGGGCGGCGAGGGTGGTCGGTGAACTGGTGAAGGGCGGCGACGACGAGGGTGGCCGTGGGCCGTGGCTGCGCGAGAAAGGGGTGCAATGGGGAGTTGCTGCCTGGCTGGAGAGTGGGGAGAGGGGAATGGTATCTGGGATTAGGGTTTGGGGGGCTGGGGTACGTTTTGGGTGGGGTTGGAGCGGGGTCGTTTTGGGCGAGGTCGTGGGGTCGTTTTGGGCAGGGTCGTTTTGGGCGAGGATGCAGGGTCGTTTTAGAAAGTGGGAGAGATTGGTTAGCCGGTTAACCGTTGATTTTCGACCACGGTTAATCGGCTAGCCGAGCCTCTTCCCCCTCTCCTTCGACGATCGACCGCCGACACTTAGTGACAGTTTTCGGTTAGCCGAAAACCGGTCAGTTCGATCGCCCGAAAATCGATCGGTTCGGTCAAAACCGTCTAATTAACTGCTAATCGAAAACCGTTCTGCCATCCCTAGTTCTAAGTAGTCAATCCTATATATACACCAATGTATATTGGAATTGATAAAAAAAAGTTTTGAAATTTTAGGTGAGTCAAATATGACTGGCTGTGCCCGCCACACATATATAAGTAACATAAGATATCTTAAAAAAATTGAAACGCTTTAGATTTCAACCCCTCCATGTCATCATTCCATATATAGACTATAGTCGCCAAAATAACAGGTTGACTAAGTAGTTGTGCTTATAAATAAAGTGGGATCTTCACATGTTAATCGTTAGGATAATACCTGAAACAATTGCCAATTGGTATATGCATTACTATCTCATTAAATGGTCTTTCTCAAAGAAGTTGTTTCTGTAGAACTATTCGAACTATGTAGTCAATATCAATGTGTAACGTAAGATGCAGCCAGAAATATTGTCACTTCTTCTAGGTTTATGAACTATCCTTGTATAGTGAATATCATAATAATAGTATTAGCTAGTTTGCAACTTAAGTATTATCATTATGAAGTAATATATACTACATGACCTAACGGGTGCTCTTACAATATTTAGATGGCAGTCTCTATGTTGTTTAATATAGCTGATCAGTTTGGTCACATTAGTTTATAAACCATGTACAAACTCTTTGTTGTATTTTCTTCATTGCGAAACTATTTACACCTAGATTGATTAGCATTCTGTTGACTCTGGGTGCTATGGAGGACTCTGAGATGATTTGGTTTTAGGCTTCCGAATGCTTTCCATAAATTAGTCTGAGATAGATTATAAACTTTTATGTTACTTTGTGGTGTATATCAAAGTGATTTTTCAACAATATCATCCATCGTTGCATTGCTTTATAGTGAGCACGTTTGATTTCAGATTTCTCATAATAACTATTTCATTTCAATTTTCACCCTAAAATGCTTCTTGTTCATTAAAATTGATTTTTTACTTATGAATTACGATCTCTCACACTTTGTTGATATGAGATTTGAGTAACGTATTACAATCTATAAACGTAGGGGGAAAACATATATACATCAATTGCGGCCAAGAGCCGTTGTAATAATAGCGAATGATGTAGACGGATGGCTATTTTTGACCATGCTGTAACATGTCGCGAGGGAAAGGTTTTTTGGCCCTTTGCTTTCACTGGTGGGTTACGTGTGTACACTGTAGTGGGCGTTGCGTTGGCCCATCCCACGGCCCATATTTCAGTTGCTATTTAAGTCTTCATAATACAATTGCTTTCCTGCAAACAATTCAACTTTACTACAAAGTACAGACAAACTCAAACGAATCTTTTACACTAAACGCAGACATAATAATAATAATGCGGTTCCGGGTTGTTCATCTCTGCAAAAAGCTGCTACAACCAGGAAAGGAATAGTTGGAACTTGAATAAGGGGGAAAAAAAGAGTGATTACGCTATCTTTTTAACATCGATGAAAATCGAGACTAATAAGCAAGAATTGAAAGGTAGTATTGTATGGTGTTTCAATCAGAAAAATCTCAAATTAAAGATTAAATTGGTAGGCGAGTTAAACCACAAATTTTACATAATATATGTTATCACGGATTTTTATTGTATAACCTTTTACAATTTTGACTAATAATGCATTATTCAAACAGTCGAAGCTTACTGCGTTTCTAAGCCACAAAGACGATCATCATTATGAACACTTCATAGCTCATACCTATTAACTTTAAAAACGAGAAAAAAAAAATTCATAGCTAATTGATTCACAAGATGTTTTCTTAACCAAATACCATTATATATGTCAAGAAAATAATTGGGAGATTGTTACCCAAACAAGATAACACAACTTGATAATGAAGAACGAGATTGTTATACCGATTAGATCACTGAAGTGTGTACCAATTCTTATTCGGGTTTAGTTCGGGCAACATTGGTTTTCTTATACCGGAGAAGACTGACAGCAAGTCATCGGAATCCAAAAATGTTTCTTTAAGAAAATAATCCAACGAGAGACAAATGTCAACTTCCTTTTCATTCACCAATCTCTCCAATTTGGCCTTCACGTGCCTCCCTCTTCTCTTCTCTTCTCACAGCCCAAAGCCCAGCCACTGCCAGACCGAAGCCCCAAGCTCTCCACTTCCCTCCTCTCGACGAGCTTCTCCTTTTCCCCAGACACCGCCATGAAAACCAGACGAAAACGACCCACATTCTTCCCTCAAACCTCCTCCCGTACCTAAATTCCCCAACCCCCACACTCTCAACGGATCCCCCCCCATTTTTAGCCAGAATTCCCAAAAATCGCAAGAAACAAGATGGCGCAGATGTGCTATGTGGGTAAAGCTACCAAGATCTTCATCTTCATTGTCGCCGTCGCGGTGGTCGCCGGCCTCATCCTGGCTTTCGGCCTCTTCCGCCGCGGCGCCTCCCACCAATCCCGCCGCCAATGCTCCCCTGAAGACGAATCCTGCTACTCTCCCCCTGCCCCCGCCGCCGTCTTCGCCAATCCCAATCCGTCTACTCCCTCATCCCCCGGTAGTAGTTCCAGTCCCATCTCTGCCCAGCCCAGCCCTCCTACCCCTGATTCCGGCAACCAGCCACCGCCATTCTCTCCTCCCTCCGGCCAATTGCAAACTCCAGTTCCTCCTCCTCCGCCGGAAGCAAGCTCAAACCTTCCTCCTTCGGAATCGTCTTCCTCTCCCCCACCGCCTGTGCAGGAGACTGCGTCTCCGCCGCCGCCTCAGCAGCCGCTGCCCATTTCTCCGCCGCCGCCTAATGCTCCGGCTATCACGGGAGCTCCGCCGCCATCTTCGTTGAATCCGCCGAGTGGGACGGTGTTAGTGGCTCCGGGTCCGGTGCATGCTTAATCGAATCCATTGATTCGCCATTGTTTTTTCATTTCCCCCGATTTCTTCTTGTTCACTGGATGGTAAATTGAATATCTTGGATTGGAATTTCAGATTTGTATAGCCAATTGAGATGTGGATTGAATGAGATCGTTGGTGCTGACTTACTCTATTGGGTTTCTTCCTTTCTCTTCACTCTGTCTGTGGTTGGGGTTGCAAATTAGAACTTTCACTCCTTCAAATTTTCGCCTTACGTAGTTTTCGTCCGCGAAGTTTTGTGAGTTGCACTTAGGTCCGTGGAATTGAACATTTGGGGCTTCCGAGGTTGAATAATTTGGGAAGTTGAAACCGTGACGAAATTTTGTCTTACTATCTTTGACCTGATTAATTCATTGGCTGGAATTGATTATAAGAAAATTCATTGGCTGCCTGGAATCTTAAAAAGCCTACAGGGGATGTTTGAACGTGACTTTTAATTTTTTCCAGTTAATTAATATATGAATTCAGAATTTAATTTTAAATCAACCAAATGAGAACTGGCTATGCAAGGTCTGATCATCATTTAATTAGGGTTATGTGGCAAACAAGTAATATATACTTAAAGTTAAACAAGGGCTAAATTACTAGTCTGTAAGGCAAATTACATAAATCTTTCACGTTTGTAACCAGAATTATTTTTCTTTTATATATGTCAGTAACTTTACGAATTGTTTCATCGTTAGTCACCGGCCGTCAATCTCCGTCAGGCTCCATTAAATTCGTCAATTATTTGATGACGTGGCAAACAGAATTGCTGACTGGACCTTTAGATTAATGACATGTCAATTTGAAAATGTTAAAAAAATAAAAAAAAATAATTCATTAACACCCCAACGTGGATGTTGTTCCAGTCGTTTTCGCCTATCAAATCTCCGTCGTCGGTTCAATTGCCACCCATTCCACAGCTGTAGCAGCAGGCTGCCGTCTCTGCTCACAATTTAGCAGGCGACCAGTCCTTCATCAGCACCACAAGCTCGCCTTCGGCACTAAGGTCGAGACTTTCAATCCCAACAATTGCATCACCGTGTCCACCATCGATTTCCCCTCCGCCGCCAAGATCTTCATCGGCAGCGTCGAGATCACTCGTCCAGATATGTTCAACAACGGATTTCTCGTTATTCATGAAATGCAAGGCTGAGGAGAGGAAGAGGTGGCGACCTTCTGTGCTGATCTCAAGGTGGAAACAAGGTGAGAGAAAGAGAGGAGAGAGGGAATGGACCAGATCTGAAGGCGGCGACACCTGACCACCGTGTCGAGGATTTACCACACCGCTGCAGTCTTCCTTCGCATCGGAGGGTGCTCTTTTACGGGACTTGAGTTTCGACGGGGGTGAGGCTGACGATGAAGATTCTTGCCTAATTCCATCACCGTAAGTAGACGACAATGAAAGAGACTCGTTGGCGCTCTTCAATTTTGATTTTCTCAAAATCTAAAACGAAGCTGAAAAGTCTTGAACTTTCTATGGTAACGAATTGAATTGGAAAAGCCTTGGTGAATTGGAAGATTTAACCTGATGTCATCCGCAGACTTGGGATTAGATTAGGGATGCTTTTTTATCATTTTATTATTATTATTATTTAATTTTTTAAATTGACATGTCAATAAATTAATGGTCCGGTCAGCAATTCCGTTTGGCACGTCATCAAATAACTGACGAAGTTAGCAGAGACTGATGGCTGGTGACTAACATGAAACAATTCGTAAAATTAGTAGCAGATGTGAAAGAAAAGTAATTCGGATGACCAAACTAGTAATTTAGCCCTTAAACAAGTTTAAGAAGTTGGGGCTTTTTTTTAAAGTTTATACGAGTTATGTTGTAACACAATGTTGGATTTGCAACTGATAAACCCGATATTCAACTGACATCATACTTCATGCCATTTTACCAGAAAAATTTTACGTATGAATAACATACTTATATCATACTCTATATTCTCTCTATACCATGAGGAAAAGCAAGGCAAGTGAAGTTTTCTCTCTTCCCAAGTAATTGAGCTCTCCTAATTGAATGGTGCCATTATTCCCACCAATCACAAAAATATTATATCTTCTCATAATCCTTCTACGTGGTTGTAATGGCAGGTGTTGCAATGCCACCATTTCTCATCTCCCTCTAGCAAATAAAGTTATATGGTCATTCAATTTATTTACCATTTACAAATAAAACAGGAGGTGGATTAAGTGTACATATACATAGAAAAAATCTAAAAGTACCACTATTTATAAAAAAATTCCAAAAATACCAACCAACCCCAAAAAATTCCAAAAATATCACTTTTTTCAAAAACCGCCACCCCACTCTGGGCGGGGGCCTTTTTTCTATGCAAACCTCTGGGCTAAGGGGCGGTTATAAAAACCGCTGAGTGGGGGGGGGGGTTTGGGTTTTGGGTCAAACCGCCACCCCACCCAGTGGTTTGGTCCAAACAAAAATTTTCGGATCAACTCCTTACTTCTGCCGAAACTTCAAACGAACGTAACTTTGCACTCGGGTATCCAATCTTAGCGATTTTTTTTCATTTCGCATAACTTTTCAAGATCTACAACTTTTACTTGGATGAAATTTTCAAAACAGGAATTAGTTGTGGATATACAGGACCTTGGGAATAACTTTACCTTTACTTTTCACAAATTCATGTACATTTCGAAATTATGATTATCTTAAAAGTTGTAGATCTTGAAAAGTTATGTGGAATAAAAAACAAATTCATGACGTTCGGATTTGGAGCACAAAGTTATGGCCACCCAAAGTTTGACAAAATAAAAAAAGGCTCGTTTGGGGTAGCAAATGACGTTTTTTTCGAGATGAAGGCGGGACCAAACCGCCTAAGGCTGATTGCGGCTTGCAAGATCTAGAAAATTTATGCGAAATGAAAAAAAATCGCTACGATCGGATACCCGAGTGCAAAGTTGCGTTCGTTTGAAGTTTCTGTCGAAGTTAGGAGTTGATCGAAAAAAGAAAAAAAATTTGGACCAAACCGCCCCTTAGCCCAGCGGTTTGCATAGAAAACCACGCCCCGTCCCACGATTTTTGTGCAAACCAGAGGGTGGGGTGGCGATTTTTGAAAAAAGAAAGGTATTTTTGAATTTTTTTGGGTTGGATGATGTTTTTGGAATTCTTTTTTTAAATAGTAGTACTCCTGGAAACTCCCATATACACCAAACGACCAACTCACTCTCTGCCAACACATAGTAAAAGCAAGAGATGAGAGGTGAATATGTCCACCATTAATTAATTAATTGGATCCAATTTCCCTTCGCCAATCACCACTCAACTTTTCTTCTTTCTCCAACCAACACATATCACCCAACTCTACTTCTTTCCTACGTGGCCAAGATGAGCAAGGGAGAGTATAGCCTATTGGGTTCATCTTTACCACAACCAACTCACTTCCCCATTCATCTCATTGGCGACACATGCAAATGAGAAGAGGGAGCCAACCATTCATTGCACTCGGGGTGGTTGGAAGGAAAATGTATTGTTATTTAATAAAGGACACACCACCCATGCCAGGAGCAGGAGGCACCTATAAATAGGACGCTCATTTATGTTTCCTAAGCAATTCATCTCAAAGCTAGGGAACTCACTTTCTCTGAACAAGATTGGAAAAGGGGAATTCCTAACGAACTTCTTCTCGGCGAATTGGCAACTTCCAACCCTAGAATTTCTCTTTCTTTCTCTCTAGAGCCGACTCAATACGCCGTTCCCGGTTACTCTCCTCTCAAATACTGACTTGAGTTTCGGAGAAGGTCCCCGCCAACCACCGCTGGCGGGTTCCTCTTTTGCAGGTGTCCATCTCGGAGGCTGGTGATGGCAGACGTTGGCCAGGAGTTCAGAGCTCACCGGACCTCAAACACATTGAAGTAGGCTCCTCGGAGCTTGACATCAACAATTGGCGCCCACCGTGGGGCTCGGTGAGATTAATACCAAAAAACCGTCAATCCAACAAGACGAGGTGGACAGACAAGATCTGCAAGCCGAAGCCGGGATTCATCAAGATGCAACTCTAAACATCAATCAAGTTGCTATATATCTCCAAGAATCGAGGATCCCAACAAGATGGACATGTAGGATCAGCAAACTGAAGATGAGTTTCGTCAAGATGCAACTCCAAACACCAATCAAGTTGCTATCTTCAAGAATAGAGGATCCCAACGAGATGGGCATGCAGGATATGCAACCCGAAGAAAGTATTCGTCAAGATACAACTCCAAACAATAATCAATTTGCTATCTCCAAGAATCAAGGATCTCTCGACAAAGATTGATTTGTGTCAATCTTTCCGAAACTACGGGCCCTCAACCCCACTAGTTCCTCCATCGATTTGTCGCGAAATCATAGGATCATCGAGTCATCCCATGGAATGGCACCCTGACATCAACAATTGGCACCTATGGAGAGGCTCGATGAAAAGTTTCATCAACAATTAGCGCTTAATGTGGAGCCCGGTGAAAAAATTTACAAATTGTCACTGTCAACGTCAAACCCGCTAGGAGAGATGGTGGAGAAACCCAATGTCGTGCAATTCACAACGAGGTCGAGGGGGTACCGATTTTGGTCTGACTCTCGTAAACCTACGTTTTAGCGGAGAAGCCCATGTAGTCTACTTTTTAAGTAGGCTCACCTCCGTCAATGAGGTGAAGGGGTCAATTCCCCGCAAATTGCTATTGTGAAAAAAGATCCACTTTTTCACCCACACCATTCTGCCTCCATCTCTTCCGAATCTTGACGGGAAAACTTTTGCATCATCATCACCAATCTGGTAGGGGAACCTCTTCCCTTCTCATGCTCCAATCAAGGAAAAACTAAGTATGAGAAAGTTTTTGTAAACTCAAAAACTATCGGGTAATCCATCCTAACTCTCATTTATACTTGATATCAAAATTCTCCTATAATGTTTCATAACCCAAACTATTGTCCTTATCACTCACACACGAACAACACTAAACACACAACATAAGCCTACAACGATTGACAATTGTCGCTTGCCATGATTGGTTTGGGTCGTCTACTATGATTGTCACGATTCTCCATGGTGCCACTGCGAATGGTGCAGCCCGCCTGTCAAAATTGACACGACTTTCCATGATTGCTCGACATGATGGTAAGGTCCATCAACCATGACGACAAGACTTTCCAATAATTGCTCGCGGAATTTGTGTCAATTCTGCATGTTACAAACTAAATCACTTAGCTAATGATATGGTTACCAATAGAAAACTTTGGTATTAACCTTAATTTTCTTATTGGTAAGGGGGCAATTGATGAACCCGATATTCAACAGACATCATACTTCATGCCTTTTTACCAA